TCTCTCTCTCTCTCTCTCTCTCTCTCTCTCTGGCGTCAATGAGTATTACAATGAAAGAACTGCGAACTTGCACGTTTAATGGAGAATTTAATCAACTAACGATGTTGGTTCGGACGGGATAGATATCTCTTTAGTTAGTAGGTATATTTAATTAAAAACGGGCGCACATCCTCTTGCTATCTTTGTTTCTATTTCATTTTTCGTTGTACATATCTGTTTGCAAATTTCGTGCCCGTTGATGTTTCGAAGGAGACGATGACTTTTCGAAATAATGAAAATCTTTTACTTGTAATGTATTATTTCCATCAGTCGAAGGATAAGGGTTAATGAATTGAAGAATTTTGTTTATAACGTGACTTTCAAAATTTCTTCAGGAAATAAATGTTAAAAATTTGATGTACTAATTGTAACAGTAATTCTAGATCTAACAGTTTACAACATTATTATTAATAATCATTCTCTTTCGGGGCAAACAAAATATAATCTTAATCTAAAATTTAACTATATCGATAAAGCTGTTTTGTTTCTTCAGTTATTCTGATGCAATTATCCTTCAGTTATATTTAACACTAGAACAAACTGTTCTACCTACAAATCACTATGATTTAAGTGACAATAACTAAAATTGTACAATTGTGTTTCTGCAGATCCAGGCATAGAACTTTAAAACTAGAGTTTATCTTCTTCGAGGAATAACTTTTGAACCGAAGTGTGTACTCACACACACTTCGCTAATTACATCCACGCTGTATGGATCGAAATATTTAGTAATCTCATTAATCTCTGCTCTTTCTACCACGTATCACGTTCCTGCGTGATAATAACAATGTCCGCCGACAAAGTCGAAAGCTTTTACACGGGTCATTAGAAGGTAGACGACCACTCGATGGTGACTCTACACCTTGACCTCTTGATTGCAGATGGCGTGGTATCCTATTCGATGCCCCAAGGTGATAAAAGAGGTAATGGATGGGAATTCTTCGACGCCACCTACGACGGACACTGGGACGGGGAGCTGCGGCGTGGTTTAGGTCAGTTGACAGACGGCAGGACCGGTCCTGATAACTTTAAACTGGGATACTACGATAATGATCGCACGCAAGGATGGGTCGGCTGGAGGAACGACACGCGTGGACAACCGGTCGAGATTAAATTCGAATTCGACAAGGTTAGAGAGTTCTCGGCCATTCACATCTACTGCAACAATCAGTTCACCAAGGATGTTCAGGTGAGTGTTTGACTGTTCGTTGGATCCTTTCATTGAAATATTTACTTATTATAGAGAAAGATCTAACAAAAAGTCATCCATTTTTTTTTTGTACTATCAACATCTTTTAACATCGATTTAGTAGAAAGTATGTTCGTAGAAAAGTTCTTGTAGAATATTAAAGTTCGATCTTGGTGAAAGAAGAAGGAAACGAAAACACAGTCGATTTTATAAAATAAATTCAATCTGTTACGTAAAATCGGATTTTAGATATAATGTAAAGAGTGATTGGATTGCGGTATAACATTTTATTTGAAATCATTTGTTGTAATCATAATATTCTTGTTTCTCGGGAAAGTGCGAAGGAACTAGCAACTTTTTAATTCAGATTAATAAATTCTCCAAAATTATAGTTATGAGAAAGGATTCCAAGGATTTTTTTCGTAACTACTTCTCCTTTTAGATTATACAATTTTATGAAATTTTCCAGAATTAAGTCTCTAGATAGTCTCTTTTCTTTTTAAACCCACACAAATCCTCTCATATCTTCCGTAAAATATTTATCATTCTAATGTTTTGTATCTGGCGTTATTTCACTGTTCGCCTCAATTATTTCCAAGTTACTTCAAGATGGCAATTTAATCGTTACGAAAGAAATCGAACTTCCGACGCGACGTGAATCTTCAACGAAATTCCGTAATTTCGTAAAAGCACTGGAGAAAAACATCATTCGTACGATATTAAAGTCAAGTATATCTTGTAATTTTTATTTTGTATTTTCAGATTTATTTCAAACTTGATCAACATAATCATAATAATTGAGTCACGTGTTAATGAAATTTCAATCACACATAACATAATGAAAAAAAAAGTTCCTACAAGTTTTCAAACACTTTCGTGAATAACT